CCGGGTTCCCTCCTACCATGCTCATTAAAGGCGTGCTTAGGTGGTTTGCCGGTCCGAGACGAACACCAATGAAGGAGAGGAAAGGGAAGCAAGATCAAGAGAGTATTATTTTTTTTTCTTTTCTCTTCTCTTTCTTTTTTTTTCTTTTTTTTTTCTTTTTCTTCTCTTTTTTTTTTCTTTCTTTTTATCAAAAATCAGTAATAACAGTATTACAATCATAACGAGAATTGCAACAATAACAATTATTTATTATTGTAATTAATAGCACTAATCATCAATAGTATTAATAATAATCTTCACTAATAACATTAATGATGATTACTATTAATAACGATGGTAATGATAACTATCACTATCACTATGCATTAGAAAATAATTCTACTAATCAACAACAATGCATAATGGTTTGAGAGAGCTTCCAGCTCCTCAAGGAGATCATGACCCCCATAAATATAAAAGCATCTGTCAAATGTAACTTCTTCAAATGGTTCTTCATCAACATGTTGATCAGCTTTATTAGAAATCTTCTCAACTTTCAAGGCCAGTTTCTGCTGTAAGGAGCTCTATGGTCTCTTTGCCTACTCTTTCAAGCACTTGCATTCCCCTGATAGTGAGAGACTTTTCCAGTTTCAAATATGGATGGTGCAAGGGAAGTAGCTTTTCCTGGATGCTCACCATTTTGAATAGGATCAGCAAGGTTTAGTGGCTTAAGTGTTGTAGGTAAGGCGTGAAGAGGTGGGAGGATTTGGATGAGTTGAGGAGCTCGTGAGCTGTAGTAGGATGTACAGATTCCGTTGGCTTGGTGAAGGAGAGCCTTGAGACATTAAATATGAGGAAAGATGTTGTTGGAAGCTGACGGAAGTTTGCTGAAGAATGGGGATCCACAGCTGCTTGGGACTGGACTGAAAAAGGGCAGACCGACTGCCTTTTGTCTTGCTTGCGTGAGGTTGAGGTAAATGGATTGACTGGGTAGGGTGGAGATTCGATTAGGAAAGGAAGAACGGGTCCTTTGGTGGAGTTCTTTTGCTAAGGCAGATTTTACAGACCTTTTAGCAGCAAGGTTAACGTCAAATGAAGATGTTGAGTGGGAAGAACATGGGTACACAGTCAAATGAGCATCTCTTCCTTCTTCTTGCATGAGGCTGAGAGTTTGGGTGCTGAAGCCGGCTATAGGAGGGGAAGAATAGGTTGAAGTTGCTGGATGTGTAAAGTGAAAGAAGTAAAGACTCAGTTCTGGCTTTTAGAGAGCAAGGAGATGGAAGGCGTGGAAGTTGCTTGGCCTGGGTTAAAAACCAGTGACGCCTCGTTTAAGTCGTTTTTTTTTAACAACCGGGCTTCACTAGATCTTAGGAGTAAATCATTTCCCAGGATTTATGGATTGTCCCCACGTCACTCAGCAGAGATTTTTCAGCCTAATTCACGGGATTCAGGCAGGAATTTTGACAATACGAGGTAATGCAATTTAATGAGATTTGAGGTTTCATTTGACTTTGCTCATTTGGGTTAAACCACTTGGTAGGGCTAATAAGGACTTGCTATTACGAGTAATATCATTAATTTGAACAGGTACCAGAACATCAATGAGTCATAAATGCCTCGATTTGTGTGCATTTTCTTCTTGTAATACGTGTCGAATTTGTTGATATTCATAATTGGACAAGTTGATAGTGCATTTAGGGTATTGCTGATGTCCCGGTCGCAACGGTGTTGTCCTTCTTGCGATCGGACATCATTTGAGCATCGTCGAGGTCTCATTTTCCTCGAAATGCATGTTTTCCCTCGAGATTCGTGCCACCATTATGGATACTTAAAAATGAATAAAAAAATACAGTTTTCAGAGGTTGACAATATTCCGGACGCAATGACGCTGTCCGTTTGTCGATCCGACATTGTTTGGTCTCCGACGAGGCTAATTTTCCTCAATATGCGCGTCTTCGCATCATATTTGAATCGCCTCAAAATTTATTCCACCACCTCAATTGATCCAATTTGATTAAATAAAAAGTATATTCATAATGCCGACGACGTTCTGGACATAATGATATAATCCGCTTGTCGATCTGACATCGTTTGGTCAGCCTCGCTCTTTAATTTCGGGTGTCAGTCGTCCCTTTTGACCGATCTCGTCCGATTCAATTACGGGGGACCTTGACCCAGCAGAATTCAATATCCTGATCGCAATGATACCATCCATTTGGAAATCAGAGGTCATTTAATCCCTTAAGTGATGCGTTTTGTCAATGCACGCATTGCCTAAATGATCGTTTTGCCTCTTTTCACATGGTTTATATGTAGGGGTCAACATCGATGCATCGAGGCAATATTTTATTTTTTTATTTTTTGACTTTGACTATTTTTAATAATAATAATAATCTTTAAAAATAACAGAGAAAAAGAGGTAAAATCTCATTTTGGTTTTGATTTGAGCGCCATTGTCTCGTTTTGTGTGCCGATTTCCTTGGGTGAATTTCTTCGAGCAAAATCATAGTCAATTTTTGGTATTGCTGACATTGCGAACACAATGACAAAGTTTATTTTGCAAGCAGAAAGCGTTTGGGCGGTGTCACGCGCTTCGGATATCGGTCGTCGATTTGGATCGTTTTCATCCGATTTGACTGCAAGGGGCTCTCTCTTAAGCGAATTCTACATTCTGATTGTAACGATGCAGTCTGTTTGGCAATCATAGGTCATTTGAATATTCAAGTGACACGTTGTGCTGATGCAGGTCACTTAAATTGCCAAATTGCCCTCTTTTCGCGCATTCTTTTGGTGTAAGGGTCAACAACTGAAAAATGATGGTATGTTCACTAAAGTCTACATAAGTTGATATGTTATATTTATTTAGTTCTACTATAGGTGCATTTTTATGTATTTTAGTCATCGAAATATTTAATCATGCTCATGTCCATATTGTCGAGTGTTTGTTTTGATAGAAATTTGTGCAGCACAACCATGGGTCGACAATTTATCAAATTGGAATTTCATCAAAAATTTTGACCAAGTTTCCACATCACTGATATTAGGGATTCATGAGAAGTGTACAAGTATATATTGTCCATGCTAAGAAAGATGAGCATGATGGTTCATGAGGCTATTTTAGATGTCTAGCCTAGCCATAGCCATGCCAACAAAGGCGAGCATACTTAGTGCATAACAATAAGGCAAATATTATCTTGAAATTCTCTTACAAAGGTTAGTATACCTAAAAAAAAAAAAGACAATGGAAAGTTCATCCATTGCACCAAAAGGATGTGTATGAATTTTCAATTGTCCTAGTCACACTAAGAAAGATGAACAAAATATCTCCAGGATATTGTCCTACCTGAAAAAGTCGAGCATAAGGGCTTCAAAAAGAAATATTTAACTAATAGTACCATAATGATAATAGAGAGGGCTCCCTACTACATCAAGAAAGAAATGCAAGGTTGGTACATATCACCTCAAACTTTATATGGGAATTAAATGCTAACCTTTGCAAGTCTGCACCAATAGATTAAAGATGCAAAAGATAAAACAAATTACCTCACTTAATAGTGTAATGCCCTTTATAAACTCAAAAAGTGGGCTTATTGAGTTGAATTTTAAATTAGGATTAATAATGTTGCCAGAATATTCCACAAATGGCAAGCCCACCTGACATTTTTTGTTTCCTTCAATTTTCTAGCCAAGCATGTGATGTGTGCACCTAAGCATCATAGCACATAGCAACATGTATCAACTCGGGTGAACTTGGACAAGAACAACTATGCCATAAAATAATGTTCTAAGAGACGTTTCATGTTTTTTCATGATGTAGCAAGGATTTTGCTATGTCTAGTGACTTTTCAGTCCACAACCATTTGTGGGCTTTGAAAATTCACACCCTGGCCTACGTAGAAAAAGTTTATAATAATTTTAGGTCAAATTTTCGAAGACATATTAGATTGAAGATAAGATATTATTCAAAGATTCCGCCTTTATTTTGCAAGGAGTTTATGACCTTGTTCTAGGTTTCCTATAGACATAAGCTCCTATAGTTAATTATCCCTCCAGATAATAAAAAAGAACTTTCGATTAAAGTTATTCATTAGATAGACACTAAGTGCTTAAAGTATAGTAGTAACAAATTGATTTAGGATTTAAATTTGTCACCTTATGATGCAAGATCCTACAGTTCCATCATCTCAGAGTTATCATAGTCCATAGTCTGCTTAGAGGTGATAGTCGACCCAACATGACCAAAAATTCCTCGTATGCAATCATGTATTGCTTGGTCCAAATGAACCTTGAAGTTACGAGGTGGATGTTTGTCCAAAAGAGATAAATTGATGTCGACCTTAGCTAAACAGAGAGCTTTGGGCTTGATCAAGTGCACACTTGTGATTAATTACTCAAGGATTATGATCATTGGGGAACTTGCGTGCACTAGCCGTGATCGTAATTTGATAATGTCATATTGTGACAAAACTATTTAGTTAGAAGATCATGGTAATAAACATTTAATTGTGATGTCATTTGGTGACAAAACTATTAGTTAGAGGACATATATCATGCCCTTACTGATGAGCGATCCTTTGAGACTAAATAGAAGTGATACACTTGACCAAATATTTGTCAGTTGTGAGCTGAGGTTATTCATAAATTTTTCACATTTGCTAAATGGTTAAAAAGGATCGGTGGATTTTCCTTTTTAGTTATAAATGATAAATTTCAATTGGAATATTTTTTTTAGATTTTGACAAATATTGAACTCTAAATTTCATTGGAGTCTAAGCCTCGAACAATTAATTTGAAATTTTGGTATATTTTGAGAGTAAGGTTCCAGCTGGTTGATATTTTCTACAACTCAATCATTATCAGGGTGTTTGAATACTTTATTTTGGTTTCATAATGTGGTCCGAAATAGTTAGGATAAATCTGCTGATGATGATAATGAAAATAATATGTAGTCCCAACCCTAAAAACCAAAAACCTATTGGGATATCAGTACAGAACCAACTAGGTATTTTCTAAGATATTACCTCTTTGAAAATTCCTTCCTCTGTTCTATCCCAAAAGGGGCGCCTCCCGCAGAGCAAAATATAAGTAATTACACCTATGCTCCATACATCAGACTCTGGGCCGGACTTCCGTTTTAGTACTTCAGGAGCAACATAATAAGCACTGCCAACAATGTCGTGGAACTTTTTCCCTGCATTAGACAGAAAATAAATACAACAAACAAGCTTTCATCATCTGATTATTTCAAATTTCGCTTTATAAGAAAGAACAAATACATCAATGGACCCGAGTTGTGTAAATCTAAAAGTTCCTGAATCCAACCTGGCTTTATAAAATCTGAAAGACCAAAATCTGTTGCCTTAAGTGGTGAATCCGCTTTAGTTGACTTGAAAAGGAAGTTCTGCAAATTAAATCATGTATATCTCAGAGAACTGTGATCCAAGTACACCAACTGAAAACTCAGGAGCCATATTTTATAATTTGACCTCTGGCTTCATGTCTCTGTGTACCAAACCATGCAAGTGACACTCGGCTGCAACTTTAAGCATCTGACGCACAACTATAGCTGCATCCTTCTCAGAATAACGGTTGTATTTTCTGCAAAGATAAAGTCAGCTGAAGGTTGCTCCAAGTCAATATCTAATAGCAAATCAAAGACAAGATACTTAAGGGATCAAAGCTTGCCAATATCAAACTGCAAATTAGATACAAAATACTTCATCTTCGGTCCCAATAGTTAATATCACATTGCTAAAAGTTTGAAATGGCTTAGCAACAGAACTAATTGTTTTGAATGAGAAAAACAATTCATGTACATTTCCTGTTTAACTTATCACAGCAAAAGAACATCAGCATCAGTAAAACACCAGAAATCTAATGTCTTACTTGGCCAAAATCCGATCCAACAGTTCGCCACCCTGACATAATCTGATTTCAAAAGGCATGGAGAAAAGATTAAGCTCGTCAATGCCATGTACAAACTGATAGAGTAAATGGTATAAAACAATTTTAAAAAAGTATGCAACCTGAACTAAATTGCAAGTATCTATTAAAAAGAAAATACATAGAAAAAAAAAACATAGAATTAGTACTTCACATGATAAAATAAACTCTTTAAACTAATAGAGTTATGGCCGGCTGATTGCCCTTATGATGGGATATTTGGTTCGAAGTCAATGTAGTTGTGGACTTTCTGCTTAACATTCCAAAAAACTTATGAAGTTGTTTTCTGGACAAATAAGGAGCTTGAATGTGCGCAAGGTACTCCTTTTTTTTGGTTTATTTTCTTTCTTTGCTGTTTTCTTCTTCTTTTTTGCAGGAAGATAATGCTATACGAGAATCTTCTGATCTTCCTTTTTTGGGTGCTGTCTGCTCACAGCCCGAGTATCTTTTTAGTCTATTTTGTAATTTTAGGAGAAGGAACCACAGGCTCATAGGTTTTATTTCTTTTTTGCTTGTAGCTCTTTCGAGCATCAGTGAGCTAGTGGATCCTTTTAAGGACTTTGTAACCACAATTTTGAAATAAACACGTAGGCCCCGCTGCGGGTTTTAACCAAAAAAAAAAATGGTCCAAGTTCCAGAAGAAGGTTCAAACACCAAGTACATATGACCGTTTCAATGGTAAGCAAAAATGAAACAACAACAAAAACATCAAGTCGGTATTCCACCACGTGAGGTCGGCTACATGAATCCTTTTTCACCATTGTGTCTTAACAATGAAAGAAAAAAAAGAAGCGGGGCTTTACTTGACAATATAAAGTACATGACTTGTGAAGGAAACTTCACATCAACACGAAAATAACATTCATGTCTAGTTCATGATAATTTCAAAAAAAAAAAAAAAAAAAGGCCATTCACTAAAAAAAAAGGGTAAAAGTGGTTTATCATCAGTGAACATTAATGAAATAATGAGGATCAATTTCTCCATACAGGAAAACAATCTCACAAAGGAACCCATGAAGAAATCTCACAGAGAATTGAATAGAAAGAGTTAAAATTAATATTTCAGTATCAAAATCCATTTAAGAAAATGTGCTAAAGTTTAATGAATAATATTCATGCAAAAAAAAGGGTTTAATGATTAATCTAGCATCCCAGGTAACTTCTAATGAAAATGACAGAAATTACGTGCTTTGTATTAGATTAGAAGTTATAGAGGCGAGGCAGTAATGATAACAGCATTTCTCTTTTAAATTGGTAATGGCTGATCAAATACAAAATCAACTTCTCTCAATGGATGGTCACCTAAAACTTACTCCATAACTATATATACGTAGTCATCGTCTTCAAATGCATTGTAGAAGTGGACAACATTCTCATGACCTCTCAAGGCTGCAAGTATTTTGACTTCTCGTTTAACATCCTCAACAGCAACAGGAAAAACCATCTGCAGAAACATAAAAACATATACCAGTGAGAACTCATGAACGAGTGAGCACTGTGTACTAGAATTAATCCTTGGCATTTAATATCCAAATCCTCACTACTGACTTTTAGGTCAATACTTTCGTCATCATCAAGTTTTCATTTGAGACAGTTCATTTACTATTTTCTCATGAAAGAAAAACAAACAAAAAATAGTGTCTATTTGGATTAAGAAATTGAACAATTTTTTTTCCTTAATTTTCCAAAAATTATTTTATAAAAAGCTGCTTTTGTCAAAGCAGAATAAAAAATATGGTTGAGAAAATAGCTCCTAAAAAGTTCTGACAATAAAAGCTAAAAAGTGTAAGCTGCCCTAAACAGAGCCAAAGCATTAATACTATTTTGTGCAAATCTTCTTGCATGGCCGGGCTACTTTTGTTCAATATTTTTTCTTCATACTCTTCTGCATTAATACTATCTACTCAACTTATTAGTGCATATTTTATCCTAAGTCCTTTTTTTATTATTTTATTTTCAATAGATATTACTCAGTCTCTAACATAATCATTTATCACACGATTCTTTGTAGTTTTATCACGTATCTATTTAAATGTTCGTGTTGCTAATATGCTTGTTATTGTCTTCTTGGTTTTCCAACACTGGATAAAGCATAGCCAATCTAATTGAAATTTTATAAAATTACTTTTTAATCCTTAAATATTTTTATATCATACAATATTCTTGAGGCCTTTCTCCATTTTAATTACTCAATTTAAACTAAAAAAGTTATATCTTCATCTATATCTCCATTCTTTTGATATAATAGAATCACTATTTTTAAATCTATGTATCTTCATACCTCTGCATCTCCATGAAATATTGACTGATAATCATTAATTCCAAATATAATGAAATTTTATGTTATGTACTCGATCTTTCTTCTAATAATCCTAAACAACTTAATCTAAAAATTAAGCCCAGTATCCAACTTTTTTTCTAAACTTCAAATAAGGTATTGAGAGGTATCATTTTAAGATCAAATCTTTTGATCCTCTAGAACACACTTGTTATCCAAGTGACAATTTCGGCCCATACTCTTAATAATAAGGTCATCAACATAGCATTCAATCTTTTAATGAATCAATTCATCAAAGATACACATCATAGCCCTCTGATAGGTGGCCCCAACATTCTTCATACCCTAACTGAAGGGTATGACTGTATAACAATATATGCTGATAGATGTTATGAATGGTGTGTTTTTTTCATCTTTAGGAGTCATTTTGATCTGTATATCACGACGATCTATCCATAAATGAAAACATATCATAATTAGAGGTACTATCAACTAATAGCTCTGATACTGGAAGCAGAAAGTTGTCTTTCGAACATATCTTATTGAGATCATAAAGTCCTCACAAAATGAGGGTGAAATCTCTAGGTAGTATGATGGGGACATTAGAGCATGGAAGGTTTATCAGAGGCGTGGCTGCCGATCTACGGCCACGATCGAGTCATTGTATTTTTTATTTATTTATATTGTCATGTTATTTTCTTATTTTCAGTGTCGTGTATTTGTTTTATGAGATTTTCAGTTGTACCCTTTTAGTGAGGGATGTCGTATGTAAGCCCCAAGGGCTTTTTCGTCTTTTATTTCTCGAATCTCATGTATTAGGCTATTTATAGCCCCTTGTTTTATTTTTCAAGGAATGAATGATTGATTACAAAATTTCTTCCTTGTATGACTTCTTGTGAGTGCTTGAGAGTTTGATTGGAGAGAAATCCCTATGAGAGGGAGATCGGATCACCCACCAACCTTGGAGACGGCCGGGTTCGTGGTTTTCTTTCTTATCTTTCTCCCTTTCTCCTTCCATCACCACTACCAAACATCAATCCACCCAAACCATCTCTAACTCCAAGCTATCGTCCCCTCCCAACAAAGCTCCACCAATTTTTCCCCACAAGCCGCCGGCCACCTCACCCGAAATCCCTTCCAAACCACCGGCCCTATCTCCCTAGCCGCCGGCCTCACCTTTCCCCCCTTCCTTCTTGGGTTTCCTAATTTGAGGTGAATGAAATTTGGGCTTAATTTGAAATTCAAATTATATAAATTTGAAATTCAAAATTACTTTCCTAATTTAATTCACCTATTTTAGGAAAGTACTTAATTTAAATCAATTTGAATCTCAAATTCAAATTGGATTTAATTCATTACTTTCCTAAGTCCTAAAGTCAAATTTAGAAGCCTTAATTCACCCCATTTAATGCTCCCTTATTCATGCATGCCGCTGGCCCCCTATAGAGAATTTGGGGAATTGATTTCCTAAATTCTCTCTAGTCCTCATTAGAAATATTTCCAACTTTCCCCTCCACCTCCTCAACCAAAATTTCCTAATCCCTCTTTATTTAATTTGTTTCCAAATTGAGATCCTTAATTTTGGAAAACAAATTTAAATCCCCCCCCTCATCATTGTCTCTGCCCCCTCCCTCACCCTCTCTCTCCATACCCGTCTCTCTCCAATCTCCTCCCTCTCTCATTATCTCTCCACCGGAATTTAGGAATTGATATTTTCTCTCCTAAATTCCTCTCCTCTACTTACAAAAATCTGAAACTTATTTCAGATTTCTGTCATTGGCTCTTCCCTCCTTCAAGTTGCAAGAGAAACATCTTTCTCTTCCACAATATTCAAGAGCACTATCAAGTCGTGAGGAGATTTTTCATCTAGCATCTATGAATGGCGGATCCAGAAACTGAATACGGCCTAACCTACGACGAGGACGGTTTAGTAGACATTCCCCAATCAACTTTCTTTGACGTTAATACAAGGGTCAATCACACCGTTGAAGATTACATAGAGCGTATTCTGGACACTTTGGTGGAAGCAATCGAAGAACAGTTTGAAGGCGTTGAGTGGATAATCTCCACCGATCCTTGACAAAAGGTTATACTTTCCCCTTTCAACATCTTTCTTGAGTCTAACTTTATCTTGTGTTTGATTGTAGTCATGAAGGACACTTCCTCCTGTCTTTGCTAAGCTTAGTAAATGTAGGGTTTTGAGTGTACTTCTTTGCTTACTAATTCTCATTGTTAGAATAGGGATCTTATTGAAACTACTATTTTGGCATCATGTTATTTTTTAATTTATTTTGAAAGTTTCAAATCTTTGGTTATATGATTTAGCCTACGCAGGTGTGACCCCCTTTATATTTTATCTCATTTTTTTAAGCTGTTAATAGTTGTCTTCACTTTTTATTCTAGTCAAAAGTTGTGCAAATTCTTAACGAAAACATTGCATTCTTACGTAGTCCTAAATCATAGTATCTTATCTAAAATATAATCTATCTTCTAAAAATTTACCCCGAAACTTAAATCTTTTTGAGACTCTCCTATCAACAAAAAGGGTGCGCAGAGGCCAAGGTGCAAATTAGTGAATTAAAGAAGTTGCAATATAAGTTATTTTGCTTCCGTTTTGTTTTAAGATCCTATCTAAGAATCTTCAAGATGACTGCTCAATTTTCTAATACAGATGATTAAAATGTTCTTCGATTGTTTCTTTTTCTTTCTCAAGTATTGAGATGTTTCTTCATTGCTATATTGTTGTTTTCCTTAAAAATTTGATATCAAAGCCATCAAATTGACCATGACAACTAAGTTTGAGATAGAAATATTCAATGGAAAGAATCATTTCAATCTTTGGAAGCTTAAGATAAAGGCTGCATTGACACAACAACGTGTACAGAAAACTTTGCTTCCTGAACAATAGAAAGATTTGTTAGGAAGAGAACTAGAAGAAAAATGATAATTAGATGTGAAAAAATAATTTTCATGAAGATTTAGAAGAGAATATTTCCATGACTCAGCCAGAAGGTTTTAAGGAATAGTCGAATATGTTGAGGATAATTTGGTTATTTGCTTCGCAATTCAATACTTGAACTTAAGCAATCTCCGCGACAATGATACAAAAGATTTGATGCATTTGTTATAGATATTGGCTTCTTGAGAAGTAATTATGATGTATGCCTTTTACTATAGAAATATGAGCTGGAAATTGTTTAATTTTGCTAATTCTCTATGTTGATGATCTGTTGTTAGCCTATAACAAATGAAAGAGATTGATAAATTAAAGAACTTGTTGAAATCTGAGTTTGAAATGAGATGTCGGTATGATAAAAGAATCCTAGGCATGAACATATCAATAGATACAAATAAAAGGAGGTTGTTTCTATCACAATATGACAAATTAAAAAAGTGTTGGAACAGTTCTCAAATGAGAATTCCATACTAGTAGTATTCATTATCTTGGACAGATTAAATTCAGTTCATCTCAGTGTTCGGATACAGATGATGAAAAGTTGATTATAATAAAATTCCTTATGCAAATGCCATTGGATCAATAATGTATATTATAACCGGATATAGCTCAAGCTGTTAGTGACTTAAGTGTAAGTTGAATCCTGGAGCGGCTTATTAGGAAGGAGATGAGATATTCGAAGTGCTCTGGTAGCTTGAGACTCCATTAAAACAATAATCAATCTAGTAAGGCTTTAATTGATTGTGTAGATTCTTACTTTGCAGGAGATTTGGAAGGAAGAAGATCAGTTACAAGTTATATTTTCAATTTAAAGGTGGATTTGTAAGTTGGAAATCACGAGTAAAAAATTATAGAACTAGTTTTCGGAGGATGTTGTAATACAAGTTGTTTTGTTACTATCTACAAATCTTCAAGATGGTTGGCCAGATTTCTGCTACAAATCGTTTTTCTGTATTATAATTCGATTGGTTCTTGTTCTTTCTTAATATCGAGCTATTTCTGCATTCTTCTATTCATGTTTGCCTCAACAAAAGACATATATTACTGTTTGCCTTAGTAAAAAACAGTAGATAACAGAGAGCCAGGTCGCTTTTCTTCTAAACATTTCCCTTTTGTTTTTATTTCTACTCAGAAACCGGAAGCACAAGTATATATCATGGAAACTCAACTCTAACTTTAATATTTTGAGGAAAAAAAGGAATGGTATAAGTGATATGTGTAACCACAGCAAAGAAGACAATAATCCAAAACAGAGCTTTAAAAATAAAGCAATATACCTTATTTCTGTCTATCCTTTTAACGGCGACTTGATCCCCATTAACCCTATCGATGCCGACGAACGTATACCCGAAGTGCCCGTGGCCCAGAAGCCTCCCGATTGTATACCTACACGCGAAATCCCGATTAAATCCGAAGTCCGTCGTCTTCCCGCACGGAACCTGCCTGATTCCCTGCTTCCTTCCCCTCCCCTTCACTCTCTGTCTCTCGTCCGGCTTCTCTCGCCGGCGCCAGTCATCCTCCTCGTCGCCGGCGCTGGACGCGTTGGTGCTTACAAAACCGGTCACCCTTTCTGGCGAAATCGAGAGGCAGATACCCATCTCTCCTCCCCTTTGGAGAGATGAATATTAATTTACAGGGGTGTTATGCTTCCTTCCTAAGAAGCAGAAAGAAAGCCGAAAGAGTTTGAAGAAAGGAGATATGATTGCAGCGACCGCCATTTCGAAAAGCGCGAGATGGAGGAAAGGGAGAGGCGATCAAAGAAAAGGTAAAAGAAAGCAACGTTGGTTTCTATTTAGGATTACCTCTCCCTCATCAGCGGGAAGACGAGAAAATTCAAGAGGAATGAGAATGAGAAGCGACACGGAAACAGAGAAATGGAAAAGCCATTAAAAACAATCACTTCTTTACGATGCCGGCGAATGGCTTTCCTGCAAAGATTTGGATCGTCGTATGCGGAGTGGTTAGTTGTTGGAACTTGCGCTTGCTCTTTCCTTCGATACGCGATCGGTCGGGTGTCGTCTTTGTGGTTTTGTTTTTCTGAATGGTAACGGTTGCTTTGATTTTGGCGAGTGGCGGTATAAAGAGAGACAGATAACTCCGCCGGACTTGGCCCCACCGCTCGTTTAGAAAATTTTTATAGAAAAGGATATTTACAGTAAATGTGATCTAAATTAATTAATGTATATATCTTACATCCAAGTTAAAAAAAAAAAAATTGAACTGGTAAATTGTAAATTTGAACATGTTAAAGGCCAAGTCCTTTGGGACATATTTTAAGTTTTGTTCTTTAATTTTTAAAAATAATTATAATTGGTATATCATCAAAATATTATATTGATCGGGCACGAATCTTGAGATAAACTTACGTTGAAAATTTCAAAATTAAATTTGGGACCATCCGAAATTCGATTTCAGCAAACTTACAATCGAATTGAACGTCTCAAAAATAAGAACTCAACGACACCAAATTCGACCTAATTCAAGCCCAAATGGGTCCAAATCGAAGACCCAAAATGCATTTGGAAGGTTCAAAATCATAATTTGGATTACCAAACGGCTTCCAAACATGACATGCTTATAGTTGAATAGAGCAACTCAATGAGAAATATACAACGAGCTCAAGACCGTTGAATTTTGATATCATTAAGATATTCATATGCTCGACGAACGATCCACAATCAAGGGAATCAACATTGATCGTTCATTCAAACCACTCCCAACTTATTCTTGATCTCCCTCCTATTTACGAGTCATGCTACTCTAAAAAACTATAAATAGACTCCTCATTTCTTATGTAAGGTGAAGGGGACCGAAGCAAGAAGAGAAGGGAGAGAAGGAAGAGAATTGTCACCAGACTCCTCCTCGACCACTACCAAACTTTAACCCGCCATCGGCTGTTTCCAGACTTCCGCTTGGCCGCCAATTGTTGCCGGACTTCCACCCGATCACCAATTCACATCGGACTTACACCCGGCCACCAACTGACGCCGGACTTATGCCCGTCCACCAACTGATGCTGGACTTCCACTTAACTATCAACTATAATCTTTCCAACCTTCGTCCGGTCACCTGCCAACTACAGTCCTTCAGACCTCCGTCGCCAGACAACGGTCTGTACGACCTTTGTTGACCGTTGACTATGATCCTTCCAACCTTTGTCACCTGACTTCCAACGTTTTCGTCCTCCATTGCCCGCCCACTATAGTCCTTCCGACCACCGTCACCCAAATATGATCTTTCTGACCTCCGTCACTTACAAATAATGGTTCTGCCAACCATCGTCATCCAAATATGATCTCTTTGACCTCTGTCGCTCGTAGACTATGATCCTGCCGACCAAACAAAAATATCAAATTTGATTCTTCAAATTTCCAACATGTAATTCATCATGTATGATGTATATTTGCTACATCAAACCAAGGCCTTCCCCCAAGGAAGAGCCTCATTTGTAATCAACAGTAAATACTAGTGGATTCATTCAAACTTGGCCAGGCCTTGTGGTTTTTCCCCCTTTCAGGGTTTTCCATGTAAAAATTTTGGTGTCACTTATGAATGCTACACCCTCTATCTTATCTAATTGTGTGCTAGATCATCGTACAAAGCTAAGATATTAAACTTTATATTTCTTTACCGCCACAAATATTTATATATATATATATATATATATGCATCTTTCCATTGATAAAGCATCAAAGAAGCTTGATTCAATGAAATCCTCCTCTTCTTCCATTAGAATTAATACTTCATCTCTGTCACTCATAATTTTCAAGACCTAATTTGAGAGAATTATAGAAATTCTAAAGAATTCATATGCTACAAAGCCATTAAAACTTCAACATAATAGATGAATATTCATTATCAAAAGTTTTTTCATTAATCTCAAAAACATTTATTATCAAAATGATTTATTACAAACAGTACATGGCATAAACGATGTATATTAGAAGACAAAAGTGATTATTATCAAAAATCTATATAAAATACCTATATAGATTCTGACTTAGATCATGCAACCTTTATTTACTCAACATGTCTCGTTCCTTTAACTTAACCTAAAATAGATGTAGAAGTAAGCATAAGTTGTAACAGCACAAACTCTTACCTATCGAGATATTGTCCGCTTTGATCTAAGAGCCTCATGATTTTGTCATGTTGGTGTAACTTCCTTTTTTGTCACCCATCCCAAAATTGCTCTAGGATGAGCACACTTAACAAGAGAGTTTTTAATGGAAATTTTAGTCACCTTGATGTTTAAGAGTTTAGCTTTCTTTTACTTAAGGGGTTTCATGACAATCTCCCTCATTTTAGTAACTTAAATCCTCATTAGTATCTATATCCTAGAAAACATCCACCTTGTAGATAAGACTCTATAGGTGGCACCTACAAGCTCAAGTGGTGAATCCCATCATGTATCACTTTGTCCCATACAGGGTTCAAGAAGTGGCTCCCATCACGTAGCACTTTATCTTGTATGATTCTTAGCTCCATCTTCCAACTGGTGCATTACTCTGACATCAATTATGATGCCCTAGAATATAATTTGGAAGAATTATTTATTTATTTTTTAATAAATAACAACTAGATCTATCTAATATCATATATAAGTATTAAATAATATAATAAATTTTATGATTTAAAATATTAATGCACACATCTATATTCATTCCCAAAGGTCATATATAATACTCAGATTATATACAATCATATCATAACTATTCTATCTTGAGTACAAAATAAAAAAAAAAAAAATAGAACCTCAAGAATCCTAACAGCCTCACACTCTTGTTCTCTTGCTCTGACCTAAAATTATTTAACTACATATAGTGAGCTCAAAATGCACAGCAAATCATTAAAATCTATAACTAAAATCAAAGCATGATAAAGGAACAATATGTATGTCAATAGTCAAATCATAGCAATTGCATCTATATGATTATTGAATCAATGTAGAAATAGTAAATTTTATATGCAATAATAGTAGAATCTATAAACAGTAAAAAATATAATATAAAAGCTAGTAAAGATATAAACTAGTACAACTATCAAATATAAAGCAATCGTCATACATGTAATACTAATCATTATAGAAATTGTATAAAGTATCAAATCAAAACATCGATAAAGAATATCAAAATTATGTCAATGCAATAAAATCATATAGAGTCTTTTAATTTTATAGAGTCTTCTAATTCTAATGAAGTAAATATATGTCGACAGGCTTTCCTTTGAATAAAATGGTTTAGTATTATCCTATACTAATTCATGTGATACACTAGTTGGGAGTTATAAGGAGATTATTACTGTGCCGATGGATAAAGAGTGAAGACTCTATTTACTGAGTCAATAATTTACTAATACTTATACTAATATTAAAAAACACAGTGATAGCCAGGACTTCTTACTGCATTGACATAATTTTGACAGTCTTTACTGATATTTTGATTTGATACTTTATATAATTTCTATACTAATTGGTATTACGGATACGTTGATTGCTTTATAAATTTGATACTCGTATTAGTTTATGGCTTTATTGGCTTCCGTACTGTAGTATTTTACCATTTATAAATTCTATTACTATTGCATATGAATTTTATTATTTTTGTATTGATTCAATGATCATATGGATGCAACTGTTATACTTTAACTGTTGACATGCATATTGCTCCTTTACCATACTTTAATTTTAGTTGTAGGTTTTGATGACCTGCTGGACTTTTTAAGCTCATTATATATAGTTAATGATTTCAGGTCAAGGCAGGTAAATAGGGGTGTGAGGCTGGCATGATTATTCATTTTTTTTTACTCAGAACAGAATAATTATGATATGATTGTATAGATCATTGGTATTATTTATGATTTTTCGGAATGAATATAGATGTGTACATTAATATTTTAAATTTTAAAATTTATTTTGCTATTTAATATTGATAGATGATATTAAATAGCTTTAGTTGTTATTTATTAAAAGATAAATGAATAATTCTTTCAAATTAGATTATGGGGCATCATAACTACTAGGTTAGGAACAATCTAGATGCTTACAAAATTTTTTGTAGGTGGTCATACTTATGCAGGGTTAAATTATGGGGGCAAATTTAAACTTTTAGACTAACAAATCTTTTGCATGTGCAAAATGCTAAGCTCCCTTAAAGTAAAAAAAAGTATGGCCAAGTGTGATTGTGATTTAATTCATTGTAAACATATAAATGCTTGGGATGATTTATGATTTTAATTTTAATTGCTTAGGATAATCATTCAGGGTATTTAAAATTTTCTTTTATTTTTTATGTAATATAATTTTATTAAGTCAAGAGTTATGAAAGTGGTATTTGAGTTGAGATACATACATCCAATTTGAAATCTAAGCATCCCCTAAGGGGAGAGTTCCCTTCTATTTGAAGATCCAAATGTGAATGATTTTTAATATCTAAAGAGAAAAGAATACACCCCTCGAGAAGGAATTTTTTTCATTTGGATATCCGGACCTGATGAATCCAAGGAGCTCTTAGAAGGATGAAGAGGTAAAGATAGAGAGATATCCCATCCAAAGTCACTTGATCATTTTAAGATTAGAATCTAGGTTGCTGTCAATAGTACCCGAGTACTTTTCATATCTGCAGACCTTGGATCATAAATTAAGTGGCACTTATCATATAAATATTTATTTAATTTATTAATTTGATTGATTATTTAAATTATTTGCATAGTTGGAATACATGATTTTCTAGTTTTTTTTTTATTGCATGTCCTATTTGATTAGGCCTAGATACGAGGAGGCTTATGAGGTTATGATTAAAAATATTTTTTTATCTAAACAAATATAAAATTTTAGGCTCACATAGAAATTCTAAAGACTTAAGAAGTATGTTCAGGACCACCGAGAATCTGCATATATACATATTAATTACTTTTTTGCTTTACATGCACCTCCCCACTTGAGGGTTCTAGCAGACCACCTAACCTATTAAGGTGTAGTTCTGTCAAAGGGATGTTGTGCAATATATAGGATAAAATTATTTTTAAGCCTTTTTCAAAAAATG